CAGGAGGGTCCTGAATGTCTCCAGAGAAGGAGACTCCACACCCTCCCTGGGCAGCCTGTCCCAGGGCTCTGTCACCCTCACTGGAAAGAAGTTTCTTCTCAAGTTGAAGCAGAACCTCCTGTGTTCCAGCTCACCCCCATTGCCCCTTGTCCTGCCATTGGGCATCACTGAGAAAAGCCTGGCTCCATCCTCCTGACATTCGCCCTTAACATATTTATAAACATTAATGAGGGCACCCCTCAGTCTCCTCTTCTCCAAGCTAAAGAGCCCCAGCTCCCTCAGCCTTTCCTCAGCAGGGAGATGCTCCACTCCCTTCATCATCTTGGTGGCTCTGTGCTGGACTCTCTCCAGCAGTTCCCTGTCCTTCCTGAACTGTGGGGCCCAGAACTGGACACAAATCGTCATATCACAAATGTGCAGGGAGCTGCAAGGAACTTTCCAAATGCCCTCACATCCTCAAAAATAAGAGGGCTTTGAGGATATTGGGGCTTCCTGACTAGTTGGTGTCTGAAATGGCTAATTTGCCTGGAAAAGTAAAATGCCTTGCTGGGCAGTTACTGCAGAGATAAGTATGTTTTGGAGTCTATTTACACAAGCAGTTATTGCATACACCTGACTAGGGAAAGCAGGGATCCTTGGAGTCGTGCTGGAACAAGCACAGGCCCTGAGAACATTTGGTTTCAGGTTCCTGCCATGCTCCCGACTTTCCATACCAATTTGGGCAAATTGCTGGTTTCTGTACCATAAAGCTTTCCCCCATAAAACAGGACATCAACACTTCCGTGTCTTGCCATGGTGTTGTGGACGAGCACATCAAACTTCTGAGGCCACTGAATGGTAATTAGCTGCATCCTGGCATCATTATAGAATCTGGAGCTAGAATCTATTTCTTGGCCAACAGGTTCAACCCTCTCATTTCCTGGTAGAGCTTGTAAGAAAATCTTCCAGATGTATTTCCTGAGGGTGGGGTGGTATAGGTGAGAGGAAAGGAGAAGTCTGTCACTGATCCGTGTTGGAAAGTGCTTTTTGGAGGCTGAGGAATCAAGAAACACCCTCTCTTAAAGGATACCAGACTGCACCTCACCTTCACCTTAAAGAGTTTTCTGGCCTGGGGAATAGACGTTTGTATTCAGTCTATGTCTCTCTGCGTGTGTTTTTTGCAGTCACACGTGTATTTAACTCCAGCAACCCACTTCTGATCATCTCTTCCTTCCCACTGTGAGTCAGAGGGGTGAGGGAGTGCAGGTCTCACAGCAGAAACTCAACCCCACTGCACTGCAGAGTCTCATCTCGCTGCTGCCTTGGAACAAGAAACCTTGTGTGTTGCTCACTGGGTGATGGTGATTTGTCAGGAAACGTTCCTCTCCCCAGGAATAGAGCAGGTCAGCGGTCTCTGCTCAATAAATCAGCGGGGACTGAGGCAGGAGGCATGCTCCACCGGACAGGGAATGAATTTGGGGCTTGGTGAGTTAACTCTGCAGTTGGCTCGAGACGTGAGGAAACTGCTCGGTGTTTTACTTGACAAAAGAAGAAGTTTGTTAGCAATCTGCATTTGGCTAATTGATCTTAGTTCCAGTAAAGTCGGATGCTGGCTGTATTTCTTGCCTCTGATTGCATTACTGACTGCATTCTCCTTGCCTATCCATCTCGCCTAATGCACTGCCTGACTTTATAGCCCCCTCAATGGATTTAAGGACTTTCAACTGATGATCCTCCCCGGCTGTGGCAATAACCACTTGACTTGGTTGTCTGGCATGCTCACTGTGTGCCTGGACAGTGGTTTCATCAACACTTGCTGCTTGGACGTGGGTTTTTTTTTCTTCCAGGTGAAGCTTGGCCATGTGTCTTCAGGCCACACCAGGTCACATTAAACTGTTACCAGTTTCCATGAGCAAACGGGGTGGTAACACTTGCTGCTTGGACGTGGGTTTTTTTTCTTCCAGGTGAAGCTTGGCCGTGTGTCTTCAGGCCACACCAGGTCACGTTAAACTGTTACCAGTTTACATGAGCAAATGGGGTGATGCTTTTTGTCCAGCGTGGTCCATGGACTTATTTCTTCCTCCAAACAGACTCAAACTTTGCATTAAAGATCATTATTGAAACAATAACTTAGAAAAGGACCTTTCTGAGCCCTGGTAGTGCTCTCCCTTTCCTGTTTTCTTTGAAGCATGTTATTTGAGAAATGTCTTGCAAGAGGAACTGAATTGCTTGGCTTGCTTTTTTTTGCAACTTTTAAATACTCCGATTATTTCTAACTACACTCTAGTGACTGTTTCCCCCTCTGCCATCTGCAGACCTATTAAAGGTAGGATTCCTGAAATGAGGAGCATAAGGAGAAGGATGGAGCTGAGAATTAAGAGTCTGTTTTAATCAGAAGTTGTGATCAGGCTCTTGCTGAGGGGCACATTGACTGGGATTCATTTGCTCCCGTATTATCCTCGTAACATCTAAATGTGAAGTGTATTTTGGACTTCCTTATTTTTAGTCTAGGATGTTTTAGGGCATCTCTTCTCTTTTTCTTTTTAAAGTAAACCCTTCAATTCCCCACCCTCCAAATACAGCCCCACTTCATTTTCTTCTTGATTTGAAGTGGTTTTAAAAACAGAAAACCTGCACTTGGTGTCACTGTAGGTTTCCCCTTTAAAAGCAGAAATACATTTATGAGTGTACAAAAGGCTGAGTAGAGTAAATAATTTTAAAAAATTAAATTCAGGAGCTCAGAGGAAGGAACTGCTGTGGTTTCATTCCCCCTGCCAATACCCCAATGCTTCCAGAAATGCTGTAGTAGGCAGCAAGCAGTTTCCTCACCTCTCTCTCGATAAATTAATTCTGAGCCAGCCACAAATCACTCGGAACTGTCAAAGCAGACCTGTAGCATCAATTTTTTTTTGAAAACCCAACCCATGTAGTCCGTCATCGAGTAAATATTGAGAAGTCAGTAATTTTCACTGGAGAGTTATAGAGCTGCTGTCTCCCTCCCCTCTCCTGCAGCTTCTGCTGCGAAGGCTGCTCGCTGCTTGTAGAGTGGATGGAAAAGCTGGGAGGGGTAAGAGGATGAAGAGAAGGGAGGGACAGGCAATGAGAGAGCAGGAGACAGGACTGAGAGTGGAACGGCAAGCGTGGAGCTCGCTGCCTTCAGACAAAGCACGCCGCTGCAGCGCTCTGCAAGGACGCACGGTCGCTGGCTGAGGGGACACGGCTGCTGGCGGACCAGCAAGGATCGACTGAAGGGAAGGATGGAGACCCTGGGCGAGAGGGAGCTTCTTGCATAAATTCCAGGTTTTTTAGATGCTGCCCTTCTGCACAGGCTGTGTTAGGGGAGAGAGAGGGAAACCTTTTGTGATCTCTGCGTTTCTCGTGCTGCAGCGTGCACTAGAAAGTCTGGCCAGCTCTCTCAAACTCGCCGAGCGCGGCTCGCCTGGCAGAGGAGTTCTCCTGTGGACCAGAGCACCAGGATCCCTTACCCCAAGAATTTCCAGATGACACCGTGAGCTCTTGCCTTGTGCAGCCATTGCAGCGGGCGGGGGTGGGAAGGATGGCTTGGAAGGTACCACACAGCTTCAACTGACCTGAAGGTTCAAAGAAAGCAAACTTGCTTTTCCTGATCATCTTTTGATTTGCATTTACCCTTGAAACAGATGTGCTAAGAAGCCTGAAAAATTCTGCCTGGCTTGTATAGAAAATTTCCTGATGAAAAGGAGATCTCTGAACTTTTTTTCTCGTATATAAGGTCTCAAGCTTTTCTAGAGGAGAGTAACAAGTCACTGGACTCTCTTCCCAGGGGTGAGGGAAGGGAGAGCTTGTCTGCACAGTTTCCAGAGGGTGTTGGGAAGAATCTCATTTATCAGAGGAGGTGCCAGGGCTTGTCTTGGACTTGAGCTACTGCAGGAAGAGGAGAGAGTGTACTTGCATTTGGTTTCTTTTCCTTTTGACGTGGTTTGGAAGCAAGGAACTAAAATGCCTCTTCCTCCAGAGCTGCTCTGTGTTTGAGTGAGGGGCTCGAATGCAGCAGCTGTGCTTAGCTGAAGAAAATGAAGGAAGGGCAAATACAAGCATGCACCAAACACCTGGCAGGACTGAATTTATTGTGTGAAAACTGTACTGATTCCTCTGTCTCTCTTGCTGTCACCCAGTGCAGCAGTGTAGTTAGAGTCTCTGGTGCAGCCAGCCCGGTCCGAGCAGCGTGCTGAAATGCCTTGTGTCAGGATAGGTGGTAAAATGCCAGCGCCAGGACTCTCATGCTTGGGGTCACTCATCCCTCTGCTCCTCTTAACACCATAACGGCGAGAAAAAGCCCTTACCATGGTTTGCTTCTTTCAGGACTGCTTGGGGAAAAAAAGTATAAGCCCTTCTTTTCTTCTGCTGCAGTTTGTGTGCTTTCTTTGTCTTGCATGTCTTCCTGTGGACAGCTGCTCTAGTCTGGCTTCTGCTGCTTTTCTGCGAGTCCGTCGTGTCTGTTTTGTGTCTCAGCTGCATGAAGATGTATTTTTCTCTCTAGCTGCTTTGTGCCTCCAATGCACCCAGCCCTTTCCACCAGCCCGCTGAGCAGGGTAGCGCATCCGAAGTTACACGGACGAGAGGACCTGCACGTCTCCGTGCGTTTGTGAGCGGCTCCTCTCCGTTCCCCTCACACCTAACGACTGGCTGGGAATGCCTTGGGTGGAAGTTTGCCACCCTCCTCCCACCCCCTTCAAACCAGCCAAGGAGTGGATCCGCGTCCCCGTGGGGTTGGGCTTCATATGTTTGCCTGGCAAGGAACTCTCCTGAGCTCTGAACGCAGTGCATGTGGTGTCGTGGTCCCCGCAGCGCTTCTAAACAGTTTGCCTGGGCGAGTTGTTTCTTTTTCTGAGTGTTAACTGGGAATACAAATTAAAAACCCGGAGCCCACGGAGGCACTGGAAACTTGTTGTCCATGATCTGTGCACACGAGAAGAATTCTCTGCTGGCAGATTTGTTGTACTCTGAGCATCATTTTTTGGAGTTTCTTTCTAGTGATGACTATGATGTGGCAATGCCATCTGTCCTCCTCAGAGTGCCGCTGCTACCGCCTTAACGGCTTTTCCCTTTTCAAGCGTCTGCCGATTCCTCTCTCGTCAGGTTCACGGATGCTGGAGCAGAGCGTTGGGGAGTGGCTGGAGTCCATTGGCCTGCAGCAATATGAGAGTAAACTGCTTCTGAATGGCTTCGATGATGTCCGCTTCCTGGTAAGTTGTTGGAAGGGACCCACAAGCTCTAACAAATGTCTTGGCCAAACCTTGACTTGTTATCAATACCCCGTGTCAGCTGCAGAGCAGATCTGGATTCTGCAGCCCAACACAAGAGTCTTGGGGGTGTGTAGAAGGTTAAACAAAAGGAGGAAATGAGGGTTGTGTTGGGTCATTCATCCTCATGTTTAATTTGGGTGTTAACAGTTTTTTCACTATAATTTTTATATAAAATTTTATTTACTCTGCCCACTAAATCTTTACTGTCCAATTTACTCCAGAAATGGGAACTGAAATTCACTAGTGTTTTGAAGAAATCACTGAGCAGTCTGTGTTCTGGACTATGAAGGACGTGGTAGACCTCTTGTTGGAAGTATCCATCCTCTAAGCATGTAGGCAGGATGTTAATGAGCTTTGTTAATTGCATTGACACCGTTGACTCTGAAACCTAATGATGACAAGATGGTAATGCTTAATGTTGAGAGGATTTTTTCTAATAACCAGTGGCTAGAAACTTAAAGCTGCATGGTGTAAAAATCTGAGAATTCGTGTGGAACGATGAGCGGCAAAGACAGAAAATCTTGGTGCTGTGGGAGGGTTCTTCCTGCGTGACTTAAAGAAATGCTTTTTGAGTGTGGACTCACAAGTTTTGCAAATAAAGAATTGCTAAAATATTGATTTAAACCTTTGGAGAAGTCATTTGGGCTAATGTAATACCCTGCTTTGTGAGGAGTGGAGGCATCTCTTTGGTGTGGAGAGGTGAATACCCAGGAGGGTGTGTGTTTGACGGCTGTATCGTGAGCTGGGTGGAGGGGGTTCAAAAAACACGGCGGCCACCTCACAGTGGTGAGCAGGTGGAGAAGGATGGGAAGACTGGGTAGGGCACGGATGGAGGGGCAAGGAGCAGCCTCAGAAGGGCTACTTAAAGGCAGGATGACCTGACCAAGAGGATCAAGGTCCCTGTGAATGTCGGGGCATCTCCAAGCACCCCGAGAAGTTGAATTCTGTCTCAGCATCCAGCCATACCTCCATGGCAAGGAGCTTATCTCCTTGGGTCCTCATAGCCTGGTAGGGCCAATGCTCCCCAAGAGCTGGGTTTTACTGTGGTTTATGCTTCTTCAGTAGAAGAACTGCCAGTGACAGGCGATGGCCTCACCACACACCCTTCTGCCATGTCCTGTCCCTACAGCTGCGTGTGGCACCGTCCCTCTTCCCCGGGGAGGATTTGGGACAAGCTGCCCCTGCAGAAGCCCCAGCTGCTCTCACCAGGCTCCAGCATCACCTGCAGCCAAGTGGGACCAGGGACAACAGCTCCCACTGCTGCTCCCTGACCCTTCCTTGGGGACTCCAGCTTCCCCCAGGGTCCCACCCAGCTGGTCTCAGTCCACCCGTGGACCCTCAGCCACTGGGACCTCTGGTGCCCTCAGTTCCATGTGAGGTTTCAGCATCCCCTGCACACTGGGCTGGTCTGATTGACCTTCTGGGATGCTCTGGAGATGGTAGGATGAATTGAAATTAAATAATGCCCTGTAGATCCCTGATTGGGATCCTCTGCTGATGGATCTTTGACCTTTGTGGTATCGGTGGGCTGCTCTGACTCCAGCAGTGAGCAGATAAAAATGCCTTTACTGTGACTGGCCCTGCCTGACAAGTGTGATGATAGACCTCTCTCAGCGCAGAAGTTTAATAACGAAGGGAATTAACTTCCCACTTATCCCTAGAGAGGCAGGAGCTGGAGTCTCAGAAGCAGGAATTTTTATTGATTTATATTTTTTTGCAGTAAATAGCAACACTTAGTTGCAAACTGTCTGTTGCACAACTTCGTCATTTATAAGATGAAAGCCAAGACTCCTTGTACATGTCTCATAATGTGATTTTATGGTGTGTGTGGTAGGAGGTTTCTTTTAATATTGTTCACGGCTGGGTGTTTGTCTTCCCCATCTAAGGCTGGATAACTACTCCCAGTGTAGGAAATCAGCTTCTGCTGCTTTCGGGAGGTGGGCCACTCTCCTCGCTCATTCCTCTCAATGTTAAAAGGTTAAATAATTTAACAAAGATTTCCTGCAGACCCTGGCTCATTTCCATTTTGCTGCTTATCCCTTTTACTAGGAAGTTGACTCTGGCACCCATGACAAGACTGGCTCAAAATCCTTTCATCCCAGTCCTGGCAACTTCAAGCTAATACAGTCAGCCCAGTGTGAAAGTTTAATTATTAAGAATCTTTTTCTCCGTGGGGTTATTCTCCATCAGCTTCTGATGGGGGAGGAAAACCTTCAGATACAGTACCAGTGAGGAACTAGTGGTTAATTTGGTTTTAGCTGTGATTTTGATGTTCTCAGATGAATTATTGAAGTTGTAAATGCTAAAGCTGGTGAGTGCTGAACAGACCTGGCTGCTTGGCTCCTGGCGTGGCAGGCTGTCCATTCCTTTTCTTTTTTACATAACAATTTCTTTATTAACTACCACTTTCAATCGCTAATGAAGAATATTTCAAACTAAGTGGCATTATTTTCCTGGACTTTAAATGGTTTTTGCGAAAGGATTAGTCCCTATTAGGACCTCATTATGTTAAATATTTCAAAATCCAAAGAATGCTGGGTAATGGTTTGCAAATTACCAGATGGGCTATGAGGCTAATTAAATTTTAGTAGCAAAAATTAAGAAGTTGGGAGTCATTTTCTGTGTGAGATTTCACATGGCATTCCTCCCTGCCTGAGTGCAGAGGGGTTTTATCCGTGTGCCAAGGATGCTCCCGTGGCTGCTCCAGTCCCTGGGTGCCCATTTGTGAGCAAACAAGAAGCTCGTACGTCGGGTAGACAAGAAAATCATTGCAAGGGCAGAGTGCTGAGATGTGGAGTGATGGTACAGCTCTACAACAGGCAGCGTCCTGGAAGAGCAGCTCTTGAATGTGCTTATGAAGAATGCTCAGCCTGCAGTAGAGGGTAAATTAAAGTTGAATTAAGAAAATGGTCTAATAAAGAGCATATCCTGGAATTGCGGTGGGGACTGGCTGAAATCCGGCGTTTGCTGGCGCAGTGGAATTTGGTGCTGGTCTTCACTTGAGAAAAATAGATGTTTAAAATGTCCTGTCTCCCCAGTAGGTAGTACAGAGTTGATAAGAGACAAAAACTGGAGCCTGTCTTGTGCTTTTTCGTGCTCTTGTAGCCTGTAGTTTAGCTGGTTCTGGTTTCAGGAATTCTTAATTTCCTCTAGATTTTCAATTCTCTTGGGTTAATTTACACCCTGTATTCCAAAAGCCCTTACCCCTCAGGTAAGACAAATAATTCAAAGTATGGTAAAGTGATTTGGAAAAGTGCTCTGTAAGTATTTTGGGCTTCTTAATTAGATGCTAATCTAGGAAAGCAGAAACGTGCCTTGTTTCAAAGAATAATAATTGTGTTGTTCTCAGAAATCCAGAGATTCGTTATGAGGTGACGAGCTGTGATCTCAGGACAGGACCAGCCATCTCGCTGGTGATGCCTCTGTGTGAGCTGCATCTCCAGCAGCACCGAGGAGGAGCAGGGAGGGGACAATAATCCTGTTCCCTCTCTCGGGCTCTGCTCTGACACTGTGACAGTCAGTGACAGCAGAAAGAGACTTTGGGACCTGCAGTTTTCACAGGTTTAACTTGAAGAGGCAGAGTTGGAGATGTAAACCAGAATGTGAGGTAAAATGTGAACATTTTACAGGTTTTCCTGTAAAAAGGGAAGGTAGAAGTGTGTTTTAGCAGATAGCTGGAGTGGGCTGGGAATGTCAAGCTGAGGCTTCTCTGCTTTTGGAAATTCCAAGCATCTGGGACAAAGTTTTAGTGACTTATCACTGTGTTCTGCTCACCTTGGCCACAAGCTTGAGATCAACACTTCAGTTGTCAGCAAACTAACAATTTCTGTTGCAGTTCAGGTCTGCTTTGGTGAGAGAGTGATGGCTGTGGTCAGGACTGATGCTCCTCATGTGTGTGTCTCTGCCAGTGTTTCTCTTTTGGGGAAATTCAGGCCAAATACAAATAATACTCTCTTATGAGTGTCACTTGTAGTACCAGTTGGTTCTGAGCAATGTCAGTCAGAGCTTGTTGGGAATATTCTCATTTTTGGAACTTGCAGAGGTTTTTCAGGGCTTGTGAGTTGGTTATCAGGGAAGAACAAGTTGACACATCCGTGGTCAGGAGAAGGGAATCACAAGTGTTAACGCATAAATGCAGTGACTGTCGTCCTGCCAGGACACAGTAGGTGTGTTAGGAACTGGAGCTGGGGTGAGATGCTGCAGATGGGCTGAGTTTGCAGCTCTGGCCTCACTGATGTGTTGTTTTATTCCAGCTCTGAAAGCAGAATTTATCGATCAGTGTTTCCATGATGTCAAATTCTAGTTAAATCTGCAGAAGAAAACAAAACGCTGCGGTGTTCGATCTGGTGCACGAGAGCATCTCGGTGCTGCTGACCAGTTTCACAGTCACGTGTAAAACCAAGAACGTTTATGACTAGTTCAGATAAAGGATCTTGATCAAGTATTGACTTCAGTCAAGGGTGGGTATTGCTAGGCTGACCAGTTTCACAGTCACGTGTAAAACCAGGAACATTTATGACTAGTTAAGAATAAAGGATCTTGATCAAGTATTGACTTCGGTCAAGGGTGGGTATTGCTAACACCAGTCAGCAGGATCATTTAAACATCAATTTGACGTGACATTAAAACTTTATTTACCAATGTAAATAAAGTTTTAATGGGGAAGGACTTTTCATAAGGACAATTAATGACAAAACAAGGGGAAATGGGTTTAAACTGAAAGAGGGGAGGTTTAAATTAGATATTAGGAAGAAGTTCTTCACTGTGAGAGTGGTGAGACACTGGAACAGGTTGCCCAAGGAAGTTGTAGATGCCCCCTCCCTGGAAGTGTTGAAGGCCAGGCTGGATGAGGCTTTGAGCAACCTGGTCTAGTGGAAGGTGTCCCTGCTGCTGGCAGGGGGGTTGGAACTGGATGAGCTTTAAGGTCCCTTCCAACCCAA